GCCTGTAATAAATTTTCAGTTATTAAGCTTTCATGGTATACTAATACATCAGATCAAATTGACAGTAGGGAGAAATTCTAAAACATACATTACCTATTACTATAGCCAAATAAAATATAAATTAAAAAATGAAAATGAGAAAACTCTGGATGGTTTGCATTTAATGATCACCAACTTCCAGATTAGTCAAAATACCGAATAGAAATAACTGAATATAAAACTGAGAATATTACACATTTGTAAATGAAGACTGTGCAAATTTCAGGAAACAAGCAAAAAAGTACATTCTAAGTAATTTGTCAAAAAATTCCTTACCTCACCCTAACATAAAACTTTTCACAGGATAATTTTATCTTTTGTATTATTCATTCTAGTTCTTGAAAGCGACAATATGAAAACATAACTAAATGAAATTGAATGTTAATTAATTAATAAAGAAAAACTCCACTGTGCGGATATCAGTCAATAAAACAAAGCATCCAAAAGCAGCCACCCATCCAGATTACGAGTATTTCTGGTAACCAACACGCCAACGCAGCGACGACGCATTCAGCTTCAAATACAGAGCACCAACACTTTGTCTATGGCTTCAAACGGTTTGAGAAAATTAATTTCCCGCCGAAGTGTTCCAACCAATAGCATGAGCTTACAACGAAACAATCTCTCTACTTCAACTCAACCGAGAATACGAGATACACTGAACCGCGTGTGTTAATAAGAAATATTCAATACACTTATTGTCACTGTTCAGTCATAGTTGTAAGTAGAATTTTGCTGAAAGAATATTCAAGATTGAGTTTCTAAATATATTTAATGTTACCAATACGGTAAGAAAGAGAGTAAATTTTTTACACTTGCACTACACTTTCTTACAACGTGGCGCTAAGGAAGCAGTATTCACGATGAATATCTCATGACATTTCGCATTTTTCTCGGTAGTGCCAGATAAATGATGTGTGTAAAGGTAATAAAAACTGTTTCGGAGCGAAGCAAAGAAAAAAGAACACTGGCATATCGGCATTCCTTGAAATAAGAAGAAAATGCCAGTTGCAATAAAAAAATATAGCAGTCAAAAACTTTGCCTCCAGTCACTCATTTCAAGTTTTAAATATAGAATGCTGACTACTATTGTTAAATTTGATTAGTTTCAAACATTAATGAGATGTATTGTTCCATTATTATTATTAATTATATTATTATTATTAATATAATAAGTAATTATTATATAGAGTAGTAGCATTAAAAATAACAGCTTGAAAGTTTAATTATTGGCAGATAATTTATCTACTGTATAATAGCTCTTATCTAAACTGTAACGCAATGTATAATTGATATTTCTATGGCCAATGACCCCCCATCTCAATCAGTGTGTTCATTTCCCTGGCCCTTGAGCAAATCTGAGATGGCCCCTTGTTTGCTCCGACCAGTAATTAACTTCGCTTTCTCCACCCTCCCCCCATATATTGACTCGTCATAACGATTGTAATGTTATAGTGAGCTCAAAAATATTATTATTATTATTATTCATTATTATATTATTATTATTATTATGTCGCATGACCGCGACCATATCAAGCAGTGTGATGTGTCTAGCGGCACGACCGAGAAAAACGCGAAATGCCGTAAGATTTTCCAAGGCGGCCCTCTGACGTGCCGTTACAAAAATCCAAGTATACACCATGGTTTACGAGTTCATTATTGTGTGTCTGACACTGTGAACAATATAATAGTATATTTCTTACACCGCGTTCTGGACCTGAAACCAAACATAGTATGAGAATTATTTTGCACCGTGTGTAAACATATTTGCAGATTCTTTATAACCATGCGGGACTTATGATTTTATTATGCCCTCTGCCAACTCAAATATTACTATTTTTTAAAATAAATTTTATAGATTTAACTTGAAAGCCGAAAACACAAATACATACATGGCAGAGGCCACAAATAAAACAAGTGCGACAGAATGGCTCAAACTTTCTTACTACAATTGGGATTTTGTTTTTTGGCGCGTGAGACCTTGCCTTCACGAAAGAATATCTCACGGTATTTCGCGTCTTTCACGGTCGTGTCGCTAGATGTCGCATGATCGCCAGCACTGTACGGCTGAGAAAGTCGCGAAATACCGTGAGATATTCCATCGTGAAGATAAGCCTCGCGAGCCAGGATACAAAAATCCAAATATATTAATAAAGAGATTTCCAATTTCTTTGGTCTGGGCTAGCTTTTCCGTCTTGCTGCATCCCCTTTCAGCTGCCATTACCGCCACCCAAAATTCATGTTTTCGAAATTTTCTCAATTTTTTAGTGTCCTAATGGTAAAATAAATGTGTTACGACTATTCTAGAAGAGTAAAACTTCTTCCTACAAACCCTACTACAAGATTAAAAAAAAACTGGAACCGTATTTAAAAAAATTATGTTTTTTGTAATTTTTTAAATTTTACAAATTGCACGTAATATTGCGCAAAAAGTACTAAAATTTACAAAAAATGTACATGAGATTATTGACAGCAAACAAATTATGGACAGCAAATTTAATTTCAAGGGAAAATCTCTATCTTTAATTTTGTAATTGTAGGAAGAACCCGCAAGAAATAAAACTTTTGAAAGTTTCAAAAATTTAGTTCACCGTGAAAATCAGTCCTACGCCATCTTTGTAAGTGTATTTTACTATTTCTAAGGATTAAAGAAAATTAAAGAATATATTTGGAGCTATTTTTGAGAAAATTTTGAAAATGTCCCAGGGGCTAATTTATAAAATGTCCAAGTATCCCCAAAATGGGTTTCTTCAATTTGGATAAAAACTTACGCATGGTTTAAGCTCTAGTGTCGTTCACATACACCACACGGAGGGACGGTCGGACGTTTTGGAAAAAAACATTTTTCGTTGACCTCAAAACGTGTACTTTCGTTGAAATCTCGAAATCGATTTTTCGCAGCATTACATAACTTTCCCTACATTACGTATATCATTCTGTATATATGCATATAAACGAGAAAGTAAAAAAATACAAAAACAAGATTTTCTCGAATGTGGCTTTAAATTTTTCGTTAATCTTTTGGTTTGGATAGTGGCTAATGTACTCTATAAATTGACATTAACGCCATATTGCTACGTTCCTTTGGTTTTTCAAAATTACAAAAAAAATTTTTTCCTTGTCTCTTACGTCGTTAGTATTTCCACTGGCGGCGATGTGATCATATTATTGTATTTATGAGTGCATGTGATTTAAATAATGTCATACAAAATGTTTCCAACACTCAAGTTTTCTTGAAAATGGTCTCAAAATAGCGCATTATCAGAAATACTCGAACGCCATTTTTTAATGTCTCCATAGCTTTTCTTCAGTTTCCATACGGATGGTGCTATTGGCACTGTTTAAGATAAAAAAATAAATTTTGATGTCTTTTGTTTTTTCAAAATTACACAATTTTTTTAATACCTCTCGCCGTCAAAATGCGCAATTCAAGAGATTTGTAAACACTATTGAATTTGTAAGTTATAGTGCTTCAAATAAAGCTTTTCAAAAACTCAAAAATGTACCATTTTCTTAAAAGAGGCTTTTCAATGAAAATTGCCTTTTAGAACGAGGTTTTTCTCTTTAATTTTCTTAATGTATTATTGTGGTTCTGCTACTAAGAAACCGAAAAATTGAGAAAATTTTAACCAAAAAAATGTTCTTGGGGGGGGGGGATAGATGGCAGCTAACAAAAGTATTTCCCAAGTACCAATAGCCAACTCTGACCAAAGAAAATAGAAAACTAATACCAGAAGGTCTGTTCCATTCTGTGGCACCACTAGTTCTATTCAAATACAAATTCGAATATAAAATAAAAAATGAAATAAAATTCATTACTATTTATAATAACAAAAATTATACTTCGCTTTACAGTGGTAATCCGCTAAAAATGTTTACAGTATAAGTTTAACAGTTGGTTTTCATCCACATTTCGAGAAATGTTAATTGAAAAATACTCGTAGATACGGTTACCATACTTCATACATTCCATATGGAAAAAGAAGACATTTCTTTTAAAAAAAGAGGACACTTTATATAAAATATTTTAATAATTATTTTTTTAAAAGACAAAATACTTACTACTGACAAAATAAATACTTCAATCAGTCATCACTTTCACAATTACACAATATCCGTACTTCATTATCATTATTGTCTTTTCCACTTTTATTTTTACTGGAAGTTTTTGTGGATGATAATATCTCCATGAAGAATATTTTAACTTTTCTTTGAACCTTGCTTGCAACAAACGCTTTTAACTTTCATGTATGTCATTGAAAAATACTTTTCTTTTTGGCATCGTGCTCGATATATATATACTACTGAGCAGTATTAATTGCAGAATAGTTTTGACACCAAAGAGAACAGAATCTATAACCAGCACCATCATATAATACATTGTACCAGCTGATGGCAGCACTGTCACACTTCATGGAGAAAAGGACATAAATGTAGGTACTGTTGTTCTACATATTCTGACGGTTGATAGGAGAGATCGGAGATTATATGGACGAGATAGTTAAAGGTTAAATGACATTTATTTATACAACAATGAAATGGTATGATTTCGGAAACACGAAAAGTTGAAAAAGTTCAATATCTTTCGTACGACATATGTAGAGATTGCATTTCAAAATAGTAGTACCTCATTTCCAATAAAAATAGGGCATTTCGTCCTTTCTTGTTAAATACAGCTGTTAAATACTGTTTTTCTTACTTCAAAAAGAGGACATGTCTAGGAAAAGATGACGTATGGTAACCCTAAAAGTGTACAATAGTTGTCATCCCAGAAGTTACACACCCACGTTCACTTCCGAAAATTACATTGTAAATTACACAAAATTCAAGATGATCTTAATTATTCAATTCACGAGTAACAATGTCCATTACAGATTGTCATTTCACAATCGACGTTTACAATGTTGGTAATGTTTATGTTATAAGCTCTGTCTCATAGTGTCTCTTGAAAAAATTCTTACCTCACTCGAAGAAATGTCTTTATATGCTCCGTCTGAGTGTTTTTTCTCATTATAAAGAAGAGATCAATAATGGGCGATAATCTTAAAAATTCCTCTGTTCATCAGCACGATCAAAATAAAACTGAACTAGCAACAATTCCTTATCATTCATTATCAGAAGACAAGTAAACTATCACTTTTATTAAATTTTCACATTACTTATTTATCCACTTCTGCCATCCTCCGGCAAAGAATCATTTCAATTCACTGGCTGCGATTACTGCTAATTATGATTAAATCACTCGGTCGAAGCTTCTTTCAGCTCTTCTATTACGGTGCCAGGGCAGCTCCAATTCAACTAAACGTAAAACAGGCGGAGAGAGATGGGTGAGCTATTGCGCATCGAAACCGACTTGAGCCAATGAGCTTCAGGCACCAGTTTGCGTCACAATATTAGCAGGAATTTTAAATACAGCTAGATAATGCCAAAAGTGATCACCCGGCGCCTTCGTGAGAACGTATTTCTTGAAAGCTTAGCTCATATATGACCTAGCTCACCCAATCATTTTTTTTAAATTTTAAAACCAGTGTTAACTTCTGCCTTGTATTTATATTTTTAAATAACTGTATTCGTATAATTAATACATTCAATTATATCAAATTCGGGTTAACTTAGTGTTGAAAGTTCCTCCACTCCATGAAAAAATTACGAATATTTTTGTGACTATGAACATTCGAAATTTTATCAGAATGGTTTTTGAAGTTTAATGAGGGTAATATTTCTCTCAATAATCATAATTATAACAATTTTCTAAAATAAGTATTAAAAATGACAGTTGATAAAAAAAATATAGGGGAGGAGTTACTTCTACTCGAACATCATAGGGGGTTCAAAATTCATTGGCACTATTCATATCCAATGAAAGAGCATGTGGATCCACATGTTTCATGCTGTAATGGGACGGTCGCACATCGCGGATGATGACACGAGGTATATATTTATTTTATTTAATTAAGAACCGCGCCGCCGTTAAGAGCAGCCGGAAATGCCATTTCCTGCTGAACCGGGAAGAACCGCTTAGCGAGCCTAGGGAAAGGCAGAAAAAGGCGCCTCTTTTGTTCAGCACAGACCCGCGCCGGGCGCACCCCTTATGACGTGTGAGGAAGCACGCCACCCCCCACCCCTTCACCGAGCAACGGAATTACCCGCGCCCATTTCCGGGAATTTACGTGACTTAGGTTACTTCGGGGGAGGTTGCTGGGGGCGGCTTCGCCGCTGGCGCCGTGATAGGTGGAAGGGTTACAGGTGGCGCGACACCCAATAGAAATTGACAATGCGGGGTAGGAATCACGTGGTACGCGAGCCTTCCTGTGGGACCGCAGAGGTACAGATCGATCACTTGTATCGAAGGTAGCGAGGAAGCGACTTGTATCAAAGGTAGCGAGGAGGACACTTGCTTCTGAGGCAGTAGCGAGGCCACTTAATTCGTGCCTAGCCGCCCCGAATGTCACGCCGCCTCGCCACATCGCAGCCCGACTCGTGTGACGACAGCCGGACGATGGGGCAGGACACAACTAGTGGGTGCCTGACCGAAAGGGCCATGTGAGTTCGAGCCGGGGACGTGACAAACTATCGCGAAGCGACCCGTCATCGCCCGGGCGCGTTCCCGCCCGCCGCCCGACCAAAGCGCCCGCTGAGAAAGCCGCCGGCCGGACGCCCTGCCGCTGCCCTAATCGGGGCCCCGCAGACCTGCGCGGACTGGAGCCCGAACGCCGCACCTGTGAAGCTGGAATCACGCGGGGCCGCCCGGGAGGCAAAGGACAACCGAAGCTGAGATGAACTCTGCGCATACCGCCGTTACTAAGTTAACATTAGATTTAAGTTAGTTGTAAGTTTATTCATGTTACTGGCTTCACCCCCACACCCATACTAAAGTTGATTAAAGTAGTTTCATGAAAGATGCTGAAGTGCTTTCTCTCAAGTAGTTAGGCAAGCATGCAGTGCCTTCCCTTAGGGATCTGCCGACGAAGCCAAGCCGGGCAAAGCTGAATCGCCGAAGGAATCAGGTAATCGGGTGAGTCGGTGGTTACAATACATTTCATTTTCTTTCAAATTAGCACCTTAGCAGAATCTCTATGGTCATAATATTTATTTCAAACAGTTTTCCAAATGAAAATATAGTGACTGGATGTTTGTCTGATTAAGTGCTTCTTTGAATTAAATTTGTGAACGAGATGCACAGCCAAAACCAACACAAACCGAAAGGAGGCAAATATTATTGGAAGTAATAAACGTGTTGTGGAACACAATCCTCGGCAATCGCATAATACAGCCAATAACTTACTATAGTAGCACAAGTTTGAAATCTCCCTTTTGGGAGGAGCTTATTTTCGCGTGCTTCCCGCACCGCTGCTAGGGCGGCAGATTACATGTCCTACTGTGCGTACGCGATTCATTGCTTTCCCCCAACAAGGAGCTATAAATGCCCCAATGCAAACATAAACATAAGTATGGCGTTAACATAAAAGTTAGGACTACGTCCATAAGCGGACTCATTCACAATGCGTTCGCATAATCATTACACGCAAGACGTTAACTTAAAAGTTGTTAGCTATATTTGTTACAAATATAATAAGTCTTTAAAAAATTATACAATACAAATGTAAAGTTATTCATTATATATAAATGTTTTGTTAAAATAAACATTATTTTCCTCTTTGATCAGTATAGTCTCCAACTGTATAGAAACAGTTATGCAGCAGAAAAAAGTTTACTTTTAACTTAAATTTGTGAATCGACTTTAATTGTTTAATGTCATATGGCAGTGCGTTGTAGAGTGACGCACATGTATGTGGATATCTGGTAGTGAGCTGTTGATACTGAAACTTGATAAACGTGATTTTTAATACTGTGTTGTAATTATAAATATCAGTATTGCATGAAAATGTTCCAACCGTTAAGTAAGTCACTTTTGACAAATATTACAGATTCGTAAATATAAAGGCAAGGCAGTGGTACGATTCCAAGCTCAATGAAGAGACGCTTGCAAGGGTAACGCGGATGGCATTTTTTCATTATTCGAATAATATTCTTTTGCAATCTAAAGGTCTGAGTACTACATGAGTTTACACAAAATTTTATACCATATCTCAGGCGAGAATGTACATTTGCAAAATACACGTAACGAGCTGCATGAAGGCTGAAAGAATTTGATAGTGTTCTGAATGCGTAACATAATGAACGTAATGTAGCGTTTAATTTTTTGTATGTACATTTCATTTGAGGGGTGACTGAATTGACAGACCTAGAAATTTTGTTACCTGAACATCACCTAATTGCATATTATTCATTTTCAATGGAGCATGCGATTGCTAATTTGAAAAGGAAAATTGCATTGAAACTGTTTTTTCTTCATTAACTATTAAGTTGTTATTACAAACTCAATTTGAAACTTCTACAATCGTACTATTTGTTTCTTTTTTTGCAAAGAACATTCGTGTCATCGGCAAACAGAACTGTTCTTCCGTTTTTAATAGATGGCATGTTGTTTACGCGTAACAGAAAGAGGATAGAACCCAAGATTGAGCCTTGCTGAACCCCATATTCAATTGGTCATTTCTACCCCTCACCAGCCAATAAACGTCGAAAGGCGATCTACCATTTCAAATGGAGGGCAGACGTACACCGGGACATTTGAAATAACATTATCTAGCATTTTTTCAATATGGCGGACAGTTTAAGTACATAATCTATTTTACGTGAAATAAATACGTCATGTAAGGTAATGTAGAAGTCAGTAATTCCGAAAGAATTTATAATAGTGAGGTAGTTAAATAAATTTTAATGATAAAGTGAAAATAAAAATGATATTTCATAAAAACAATATTTATTTGTAAAATATGTAAATATACATCATATACAAAAAATACAATATTCATGAATAAAAATCCTGTTATGTGAAATAAAGGAATAAAGTCTGGGCAATCATCATGGGCCACACTAATATTACACATAATTTTACTGCAGCTAAACAATACAAAATATAACCAAATAAAACATACAAAACCTACTTAAAATTATATTTGTATATAACAGCCTGCCTATGCATTCAGACCCTCCTTCCACTTTCTCGGCCCCAACGATTGGCGCGCAGGGAGAGAGAGAGAGAGAGAGAGAGAGAGAGAGAGAGAGAGAGAGAGAGAGAGAGAGAG